AAAAGCATTCAGCTGCTTCTCACTTTCATCTTTTACAGTGTGAGAGGGAAAGAAACAGTATGAGGAATGGAACGAAAAAACAAAAACAACAACAACAACAACAAGCAAATAGACTGTGTGTTTGTGTGTCTACATGTGTGCCAGATGTCCTTGCTTATAGACTCAGCTGTGGTCAAGAGGCTTAGAGGAGGAAATGTGTTATTTTTTCTGCTCTGGTCTGACCACAGCCTGTAATGAGCTGCCTTTAAATCCATAACACCAAACCCAAACCAACATTCCATCAAACTGAGCAATGTCACTTTCTTCTGAACACTAAATTAATGCATGCGTCTAGGGCAAAACGTCTTCTCTTTGTGTTTAAATGTCATGGCTTTAGGAATATTCCAGGAGAAATCTGTTTTTCAGATCTGAGAGCCACACAGTTCATCACTGTCACATCACACGGAAAAGCTGTTATTCATCTAAAAGTGGTGGTTGTGTTAGTTTATAACAGATCTGGGGAAGATTCTCATGAACCTGCAGCTTTTTTGCCATTAATTGCAAATGGTTTTATAGAAGGCAACTGGTTTGAAGGCAGTAAAAGACATTATACCACAGTGCTGTTTAATTCTCTAGAACAGCAGCTCTGACTATAGTGCCGGCTGTAACTCAAATCACGGCTCTATCTTAATGCGCTCGTTCTAATATATTACACTTTCTATAGTAACAGCTCATTCATAGTGCCTTTACAGTGGACGCTCCATGTAGACGGATTAAAAAGTGTAATTCTGAACGGTGATGTTTTCTGTAAGGAGATACATTTTTGGATTTAGCATTTTTGGAAGGAGTCTCCAGTGTCAGCGCTTCGTAACAATCAGAATTGAAGTTTTTCAACATGGGAAAGTCTTTGCACCTTCTCGGTAGCATAAGAAGCTACTTTTTTGTCTTTGTCAAGACAAAAAATAAACAAACAAACAAATGTTTATAGTTGTTTAACATAAGTGGTAACAGGGACTTATTGATTCATGGATGTTCCATAACATTAAACATAACTATAAATGGATAAAAAGTATCCATTTATAGTCATGTTAAGAAAGAAAAATTGCTAGCAATTGAAAACTGCTGTGGTACAAGGGGATTACAACACTTTGGGAGAAGCATCACACCACCCTGTTGTTGATTATTTTCCTGTAAGAGCACACACCATTGTGTTTTTCTCCTTACATAAAAACAAACCAAAAAAAAAAAAACCTCTAGCTCTTCATAGCCATATTAACGAATCACGCACTACTATCATATCTAAAAATCGGTCTTTTTTACAATTCGGTTAGTTTGACCAGGAGAGAAACTGAATACTGTAGATTACTAAAAACTAATAATGACTATATACATAATATTAACTTTTTCAACAATTCTATTTCAATCCTCACTTCATCACTGCTTTAAAATCCAATTATACTTCTGCCCTCTATCCAGTTATTAATTAAATTACCTCAAAACAGCTCAATTTGTCTCTGCCCTGTCTTCAGCAAGGTCAAATGGATTAGCGTAATTGATTTGCGCTCACATTGTTAAGGCTTCTTTAGCCAAACACACTCAGAGGAGAAGCAAATGGGAACGATGATAAGAAGAAGTGGTTGAAAATGACGGATCCATCCCACGACGTCTTCTCCCCAGGATGCTCCCCTTTCCTGACAGCGCTAATATGACGGTGTAATTGAGCCATTCATTTTCTCCAGTGCTTTTACAGAGAATGGGAGAAACACACACGCACACACACATAATATACAAGAATGCGATAATGCTGTAGAATTAGAGTGGAATGCTCAGATAAATAAATATGATAAATATAAATACATTCATTTTGCATTATCCAGTGTTACTTTGTTGAATTCATGTAAGCTGTAGTACACTGAATAGTCTAACATTTGAAAATAGGTTTATTGTTTTCTCCACACAACTCACAAGGTCAACATTTTGCATTTAGCTATTTGACAGAGCAACTTAAAAATAGGGTCAGAATTCAATTTAAGTGTACAGCTTAGCGGCTGAAGGGCAAGAGCTCTCTGGCAGTGCTACAGTGTTAGAAAAGAGGTACTGTAAAGATCTGTTTATAAATGTACAAACAGTGTCAGGAGGTGAGCAAATCAGTATCCTGGGCGCCCAGGACAAGCAGATTTTTTTGTTTTAGTCATCGTGAATAAACTAGGTTTAACAACCAGAAAAAGCAACAAAACTTACTGTTTTGCAAAAAAAGTTTTAATGCATTTAAAAAAAAAAACACACACTTTTCTTCCCATTTTCTCTACAAATTGGTCACCTGCTAATTCCCACCCACCAGTAGCTCTCACCTATCATACAACATGCTAACAACCTGGGAGGGTGAAAGCTAACACACACTTCCTCCAAGACACATGAAGCCAAGGGCAGTGCAACAAACTTAAAGTGCTATCTGCCCTCTTCTACATACAAGAGCTCACAGAAGCCCGCGACTGGCTAGTGTCATTGTGATTGACAGGGGAGAGAGTATGCCATCCTTCTCACCCAGAGAGCATGGCCAATTTTGCTCCCTTGTCATGTTGACGCTGTAAATATAGTGCAAGCTTTCAAATCCCACCACCTGCTGCACTACACACATCAGCTGAAGCATGACCCGGTCGATGGCAGAACAGCTTTTACTAGGTGGATTAATTAGTTTAGATGGATGATAGATCTTTTCAGAATCAGGAACACAGAGGTATGAAAAAACACTGATGAAACCAAGCAAAATAACCGATTAAACATAACAAGAAAAAATAAAGAAGCTAGCCAGACTTAGCTAATGTTGTAATGTAAAGGACTATAGCTACATAGAGTTGTCTCTTCTGTGAGAATTCATGTATTCATTACTTTCCCTTAGCCTGCTTTAATGCACTTAACTAGCTAACTAGCTCACAATACAATTTTTATATTACATTAGCTACCACTTTTTAGCTGAGTCATTTAGATTCCCGGGCAACCAAATCATGGGACCAGGCAGTACATGGGACCTTCCACTTGCCCACTGGAGTAGCTAATTAATTTATAATTTGTCCACCCCTGAATGTAAACGTCACATCAAAAATACAGCAGTGGTTCCGAGGATCCAAATTTGTACCTTAATGATGTTCTTCAATAATTGCATTTCTATAAATAAAGGTACAACAGATGCCAAAGGTATGTACATTAAAACCCCCAGTTTAGTATCTGTTTTAACTTGGATCCAAACACACTGATGCTGAGCCTCACCCGAGCCACTATCACTGTCCTACAGCAGGCACAATTGTTTTGTGAGCTTACACAGGATGTTAACAAGGCTATGCTCAAAATACAACAGAGAGATTCTCCACATGAAGGTGAGAACGTGTGGCACAAACTGTAACAGAAATGCCACACATTTGTCAGAGCATATGCAAGTCTCACAGTAGCAAGACTTCACACTCACCACAATGGCCCAAAATGGAGAGACTGAGCGTGTTCTCGAAACAAACTCAGAAATACATGACTCAAAAATGCTTAAAAGAAAGCTAGTTAGTACTAGTTAGCATGGCTGCATTAGTGTTAACGCACAGAAAAGAAACTGCAGCATTAGCAAATGTGCATGAAGTATTTTAATGTTCTTTCATTTCATTTGAATTTTCCACTGAGAATTCTGTAGTTCATGTCTAAGCTTAACTGATATAATTTGCACTTCTGGAGACTAGTTACAATAAACTCTGTTAGCATTTTTTTAAAAATACAACTTAAAGAAGGTATATAAAGGTTTGGGGAGCTCTCATATATGGTGGATGTAATTTCCATTTAAACATAATATATGGTGAAAACATTCATTCATTCATTCATTCATTATCCTGGTCAGGGTGGTGGTGGAGCCGGAGTCTATCTTGGGAATGCTCGGAGTGAGGCAGGAATACACTGTGGATGGGATGCCAGTCCATCACTGGGTGCTATGCACGCACATTTAGACTTACAGGCAATTTCACATGCGCATTGTTTAGTCTGTTTCAATGGAACCCTGGTGTGTTTTCCTCCTCGATGCGGTTCTTCAGGCAGATGAGAACACAGCAATTGCACTCGGGTACAGACCAAAACAACTGGTCTGAAAGCGCCTGAGTAAGGTGGTCCCAGTCCACCTCCAATCGAACTCTAGTGTGGTTTGAATGATGTAAGCAAGCTATTTACTCCTAAATCAACTTGACTTCAGGAAGTGACCCAAACATGCAGTGTATTTTGGGTTGAACTGAATCACAAGGCACAAAAAGGAAAGAAGCTTTAGGGATGCAGAAATGCTATGTGTTCTGGATATTTGTCCCAATGAACATGAAGAGAAAATTAATGCTGGATGTGATGCACAAAATGTTTTAAGCTAGTTATTTGTATAATTATCTAATCAGTTACTTAGTATTCTTTGCACTCTGGTGATTTTAGTGATTTCTACACACACTTGGTAAACGTTAGTTTACTTTTTCCGTCGTCGTGTTTCTGAATGGTACATTCTCATTCCTACACGCCCCTCAGCCAATGATGTCTTGCGTTTATTTATGTAGAGTGTGAAACTAAACCAGGCCGAATAGCGAATAGTATCAATTTCACTCTGACACAGTGGGTAAGCACACTGGCATGTTTGGAGAGGATGGAGAAAACCAGACAACCCAGAGAAAACCCACACAGACATAGATAGAACACGTGACGCTCCACAGATATAGCTTATAAAACACTGTCGACCTAATCTGCAAGAGTTATTTGATTCTAAAAAGCTCTGCCCTTAAGAAATGCACTTCTCAAAGAAAAAACTGACAATATAACCTCTTAAGGACCGCTGAATCCAAAGCTCATTCCTGAACAACGGTTATGTGTATGTGATTGTTGCTTGTTCAAATCCTAGGACTGTTAGAGAGCAGATATTGACCCTTGAACAAGGCCCTTAACCACCACTTTCTTATAGATAGGCATCTATATATCAGGGACTTAAACCCACAGTTTGACTTATGCAAACTTTCGGCACCCGGCTAGCTCAGTTGGTAGAGCATGAGACTCTTGATCTCAGGATCATGGGTTTGAGCCCCACACTGGGTGCCACTGAGGCTGCACAAGCTAGTACGCTCTCAGCACCGGTCCCAAGCCCGGATGAACGGGGAGGGTTGCGTAAAACCTGTGCATCCAGCCGAAAGAACAACGACAACAACAAATTATGCAAACTTTATTTGTTCCCTAATCACACGCAGCTCTATCTGACTCCATCCGGCTCTGACTGAATATGCAATGAAAACCCAAACTTTGTACAAAAGAATATGAAAGAAGATGGTCGATGCTGACTAAAAAAGACTGTGTGATTAACAAAAAAGCTGGAATTGTTAATACCTAAGTAATTTGTTCCCTCTTTCTTCTCTCATTGTTATTGAAAATCCAAATAACTGACACATATAATGATTTTTCTGTTGTTGCTAGGCTGTAATGTAGTTTGCTTTAATATGTGATAGTTGTATAACCTTTAGAAAAGCTGTTTTTCCTCGTAAATGCTTTCTTGATGAAAGGAATAGCATAGAAGGACAGTGGCAACAATTTGCTCTTGTTCCCACAGGACACAAAAGAGGAAATATAGGATGCTTTGAAGCTGATCCCCATCTTTGCTGTTTTGGCTATCAACAAGTCCGGAAGATAATCGACAGGGTGGTGTGATTGACGCAAAGCAAAGTTGATTATTTTCCGATAACAGCATGTCCACAGCAATTTGCCAATGCTAACAATTTTTTAAAAATTTGTTAAAAAATAACACATAATACTTTTTATCTGTTTATAGTTGCATTTAATGTTAGTTCCTGTTATTACTTACCTTATAACAGCTATAAACAGTCATTCTATCACCAGACTTGCTTTTCTGTCTCTTTCTTAAAATTAATAAGACAGAACATACAGCTTCTTATGTTACCATGAAACCACAAAGCACAAGTTCCTCCGTGGTGGAAAACTTAAAGCTAGAGCTTTCCTCTGACTGTCGCAAACCACTGATAGTGGCGATTCCTTCCAAAATCCTCCTCATAAAAAAACTTCATTATGTCAATGATTACACATGGTTTTTAACATGTTTATGTGTTTATGTGTAACTGAACTGTGTAAGCTGTTACTATAGAAACAATAACATATAAGAACAACTGCATTAATATGAACTTTGCAGTTGGAACTACTAAGAGCTGCTGTTATAGAAAATTAATCAACACCTGCTGACCAATCAGAATGAAGAATTCAACAAGTGTTTTACAATAATGGCTATTAAACTGATTTTGCACAGCCTGAAAGTAATTACAATTATTATAGGATTAAAATGCACATCCACTACTTGTGTAACATCTAGCCAATTTTTGAAACTGACCATATGGCTAAAATATGACCCGTTTATACACATCTGAACAGAATTACACGGTGCTGTTCGAGCTAGCACTTCAGGTGTTATTCCTGCAACAGATTTTGTTCTGATTGAGTCATGACACCTTTATTTATCACGCACACATTTCCCATCCCACCACCATTCATCTGTCTTGGCATACATTCCCACTGCTCATCTCTCCATTATTCTTCACTGTTCTGTTTGAATACACAGGAAAAAGAGAGAGAGAGAGAGAGAGAGAGACAGAGAGAGAGAGAGAGTGTGTGTGTGTGTGTGTTCTCCTATCCTACTAAGGTCCTGCTAATTAGATTAGTGAAATGCCTAGCTCTTGATCCAGCTCAGTAATCTATAGTGAAGATATGTCCAAAAAAGAACTGCACAGTTCTCAGGTCTTCTATGACTAAGAAGCAAATATGTCCAATTAGGAGACAAATACTGAATGTTAGATTCAGTTTAGCGTCTCTCTCTCTCTCTCTCTCTCTCTCTCTCTCGCTCTCATTAAGATTGCTGTGTGTGCACGGCTGAGCCGCTGTGGATGTTGCCGCGTTTATGTAACTTGTTCAGGTCAGCGATTTTGATTTCTCGCTCTGTGCGTGTACGTGTTGCGGAGGAAGTTACAGACCATGACATGATGGTCCCATTCCAATATTTTCTCCTTCTCTACACACACAGCATTACACTGTTGTGCCCTGTTTCTTCCTCCATATTCCAGTAAACAAGCTACTTTTCTCTCAACAAGAACCAGATGAGACTGGGTCCTTTTGATTTCTTAAAACATTCATCCAGTGTTCAAAGAACATCCAGTAAATGTTGTGTAGTCTGAACTGCAGAGTTACTTACCGCCATGTACAAAGCCATGCAGAGTGCAATCTGAAGGACCAATCAGGTGGATGAGGCTCGACTGGCTGAATCCAACAGTATATGGTTCTGCAACACACACACAACTCTATTACTGAATAGCCCACCAAAACTTTTCTCATTTACAGCTTAAACCTGTATTTTTCTCACTGAATCATTCAATTTTATCTTCAAAAACACCAGATACGCTGTTAAACTATTCAGCAGATAAATAGACTACTCTAAATAGAATACTCTGTTCCAGAGTAAATTAACTAATCTGTTCACTGCTGAAAAGTCATTAACAATAGAATGAACAAACTCTTTGCAGTAATAATAAAGAAAGGATGGGGAACTAGAGCCTTGCCTAAAATTAGGTTTGTCATTTTAATTTTTGGGGATACATAGATACATACAAAATGGATACATACCTTTTGTCTGTCTTTCTACATGTGTTGAGCAAAAGACATAGAAGAGAGAAAACTGTTATTAAGTTCCTTTTTTGGGAAATGGAACTACTAACAAGGTGTGTCACAAGTGTAACAAGTACACAAGGACACGGGTTGATCACATTACACAGACTATTCTGTCCAACTAAAGTTATTTTATAAAATTAAAATGCCTAATAAGACATAATACATATGCAGTATATCATAGTACATTCTTCATTTATTAGAAGAGTTGACATATGTGGTATGACTGTGTGAAATTGCTCTAAATCATTTTACATGTTTTATTTTGCCATCTGTCACAATTTCAAAATTGCTTTGCATTACTAATCAAAACTACAAACAATTTGCATTTATAGTTGATTTATAATTCACTCATTTGTCCATAGTTGTTCATTTTACAAAATATCATCTGGTGCGACCATTAGAAAAAGAACATTTCGAGACTTATGTAGACATAATGAAAAAAAAATCAGTGGCAAAAAGTGACACCATACAGCAACATACCAAGGATCCGTGGAAACATCTAGAAGGTTTGTAAAATTGTGTCAGTTTTGGAAAACAAGTATGCAGCTGTCACATATTTAACATTAATCACTGATACAGGATGCTCAAGTGAATACTACGCTTGTACACTTTTTAATCAGTTTTATGGGTTTACTTTTTAATCCGTTTAATCAGTTAATCAAAAAAAACATCTTTTAAGCACATTTGCAGGTAACAATCAGTCATACCACATGACCATTTTTAAGACCATGGCAATAAATGTTGATGTTTAAAAAACATTAGACTATATAATTCAATGACAAGGTCAGTGGGCTTAGCTATGATCTAAGTTGTAGCATTATGAACAGTTATAACCATGAGTGATACAGTTCATTTGTAATATATGATGTACATGTATATATGTGTCAATAAGAGAGAAGTTTTACCAGGAAGAAAAACTGGTGTAATGATCTCGCCATTCCTTTCTTTTGTTTCAATTCGTTCAAGCTTCTGAGCGTCATACCTCTTCTTACCCAGTTCTTCCTGGTCAGGACTGGAGTACTGAAAAATATACAGTACAAACAAGAAGACTTGGGTCATTTGATTAGACCACAACACATTATGTATAAGCTAAATGGTATAACTTCAGCACAACTGTATACACTGACCAGCCAATTTATTAGAAACATCTATATGTTTGTGCAATTATCCAATCAGCCAATTATGTGGCAGCAGCACCATGCATAAAATCAGGCAGATACAGGTCAAGAGCTGGTGTTAGAAGGGCTGGTTTGAGTATTTCAGAAACCGCTGATCTCCTGGGATTTTCACACACAATAGTCTATAGAGTTTACACAGAATGGTGTGGAAAAACAAAAACATCCTGTGAGCGGAGGTTCTGTGGACAGAAAAACCTTGTCGATGTGAGAAGTCAGAGGAGAATGGCCAGACTGGTTCGAGATGACAGGAAGTGCATGGTAACTCAAATAACCACCTTTACAACCGTGATGTGCAGAAAAGCATCTCAAAACTAATAATATGTTGAACCTTAAGGCAGATGGGCTACAACAGCAGAAGACCACATCATGTTTCAGTCCTCTCAGGCAAGAACAGGAATCTGAGGCTACAGTGGGTGCAGCGTCACTGAAACTGGACAGTTAAAGATTGGAAAAACACAAGACAATTTTTCCAATCTTCAGCTGCCCAGTTTCAGTATAATATAAGTCTTATATTAAACATAAACCTTACATAAGGCAATTAAGAGAAGCTAAAATTTCTTTGAAGAAGGCCCTGCATATTATTCACGACACATTACGTAATGCCATCACCACATCATAACCCCCTTCATACACTCCAGCAGTCACTAAGAAGCTGAGTACAAGTGTCCTGGAGATTCAGATGACCTTGACTCATGCTTCAGTCAGACTGTGAGCAATGCTGACAGCTCAAAAACAAACGCCTACCAGATGCTCTCAATATTAAAGATGGCTGCATTCCCGCCCAGTGTTCCCGGGATAGGCTCCAGATCCACAGCGACCCTGACCAGGATAAAGCACTTAATAAAGATGAATGAATGTGTAACGTGCGGTGAGAGACAGGATACTAGTGCCTGGTATGTAAACCTGGTATGTGCTTTATCTTAAATGTAAGAATCATAATAAAATCCATATAGTGTCAAACAAGCATACAAGTTAAACAAGGGTAATCCATGAAACAGAACCAAGGAACTGGAACTAGGGTCAAAACCAGGACATATAAAACACAAACTTGGGAAACAAGACACAGACTTAAAGTAACTAATTGCCCAATAAGACTTTGTGATGATACATCGACACAACAGTGATTAAGTAGACCAACACAGAACAGGTGAACACAATCAGGCAACACACCAATGACAGGACAGGACTGGAGGCAGAACT